ATGTACTTAACAGATCATGGAACTAAAGTTACATTTCCCCCCCTTTAAAACAACCCAGCCACTCTTTGGTAACCATTTTTTCACTCATAATCAAAAAGAGGAACATAAAGCAAATGTTTACAGGGCCACACTGGGGTCAGAAAAAGTGATGGGCAAGATATATATACAAACACTCACAAAAAATCCCTCCAGGCATATAACTTTATAGTTTCATGCTGCCTTATAGTTTAACAAAATGAGAAAAAGAGTGAAATCCTCAGAGGACTATTTTTTATATGCTGCTTTTTAAAAGCAATAGCCAAAGTTAATTTAAACACATCCTTCCCCCAACACCAGTCCAGTCTAGAATGAACCAACCTGACTTCCCAACCAAGTTCTACATCACTTAGAAAACAGTTATTGTTAAGTTCTTGTTTTTGAAAGTCCCTTCAAAAAACAGAACATGTTCTTTCTTTTATTTAGCCATTTATGGGCACAATCTACTAAAACACAGTTAAGAAAACTCCATTCCATTGCTTTCAACAAGACATAGTAGCTATATCTAGATAGATGGATGGATGGACAACAGACAGACAGACAAAGGTTGGATGTGAGTTACCTGCTTTCTAGAATCAGGATGTAAATCAAATTTATGCAAGCCAAGGATCAAAACTCCTTTTCAAAATTTGTTTCCACTGCCAAGGAGTTATAACAATCTGACACTGATGCACTAATTTGTAGAAGTGCATTATTATCAGATCAAGAATTAGCATTAAATCCAAATGTTCCCTGGTCTTTTTCTCTTTTACATTAATGCAGTACTTTAAAGGCTTAAAAAACACAAGTTCCAGATACATCTAATTTACAAAATTGAAGTTTAAACTCTGATTATAATTCCTGGCTTATAGAGAAGGATCAAACCATGATCCACAATTCTTTCTAAACTTAACCAGAACTTAAGCACAGTTTTCTTGTTTACATATAACACCAAACTTCAATTTAACAAATCTCAGAACCACTGCATTAAGGTACAAGAAAAAGGAAGGAAAGGCAGAAGGGTATGCACACTCCTTTAAAGTACATTACTTTTTTTAAAAAAAAAAGGCATTATTCTTTAGTTGATAAATTTTATGAGTAACATATTATTTGTAATTAAAACTTTGCTATTAATTCTTACAATAATGAATGTACTGTACATTACTTGGTAAGCAAAAAAAATGCCTTGTTTTTGTTGGAACATCTAAAAGTAACAATGGTGACCTTGTTGTTTTGATGTTGCTGTTAAATGCCCTTGAGACATCCTCAACTCATGGTGACCCTGTGGATGAGACATCTCCAAGAACTCCTATCCTCCACTGTTCTGCTTGGGTCCTGTAGACTCAATCCCACTGACTTCCCTGATAGAATCTATCCATCTGGCATGCAGTCATCCTCTCTTTCTGCTGCCTTCTACCTTCCCTAGCATTATTATCTTTTCTAGTGAATCATACCTTCTCATAATGTGGCCAACATATGACAGCCTCACTTTCATCATCTGGCTTCCAGTGACACTTCAGGATAGATCTCTTCTAGGACTCATTTATCTTCTTGTCCTAGGTTACCAAAAAGAAGAAGAAAAGAAACAAGAAACAAGGTGGATGGCCATCTGTCAGGGGTGTTTTGAGGTTATTTGTAATGTGTCACTTCCAAGGCTGGGGGGTATGTTAGCATGATGTTTCTTCTCAGTCCAAAACTATTCATAAAATCATAGAGCTGGAAGAGACCTCAAGACACCTCTGACAGATGGCCATCCAGCCTCTGCTTAAAAACCTCCAAAGAAGGTGACTCCACCACACTCTGAGAGTGTGTACTCACCAGACCTAGGCCCCATTCCCACTTACAAATAAATCAATTTGTGATCCAAATCAATGGATTAGTTTGACAGCGGAGCATGGTTCACACTACATTTGCCCCGATCGCTTTTTCTTGTTGTAAAATGATCCACTTGTCATTCACACTGACTAATGAATCAATTCCAAATGGACCCACTTCAACCAGCTGGAAAATTTAAAGGGCAGATTTAAATCAATTCCGATCCGCATCCTGTTCACACTTGCGCTGAACCGATTTATTGCAAAAGATTCAGAAAAAATGAGCGACAAAAAGACACGTGTTAAATGGCTCTAGCGAGGGGGGCTCGCTGAACCACTTCAGTAATTCAGCTCAAGTGTGAACCAGGGTCATTTAAACTGCTTCTAATTGGTTAGTGAACTGGTTTATAACAATGTAGGAATGAGGCCCTACATTGATACATATGAACTGACACAGAGTGTTCAGCATGTACAAAATGCATTGTCTTCCCACATAAGAACTACATCCTTTTTCAGGCATTTGAGATGTATTTCTGAATGTGCTTGAGCCCAAAACATTTTCTTAGAAATTACCAACTGTTGACTTTAAAACAGCTTCTTTATTACAACTAGCTATCTGGAGACTAGATTTAATTGTCAGTCCCAAATAGGATAGATCTATCAGTGGAATTAACACTGAATGTTGACTTGCCATTTAACAATTTATTCAGTACATTTACTCAATTGTTGAACAAATCCAGCTGCTAGTACCAATAAAGACAGAGCAATTAAATCAATTTTTTTTCTGAATGGTAGGTCAACACTTATGCAAATCCTATTGATTCAACTGGCTTACTCTAGTTGGGACTAGCAACTGGGTTTAAATCAAATTCTGTCAAAGTTTTTCAGAGCTAACCATCCCTCACTCCCACCTCATTTTGAGATAAAAAAGGATTTTGGCTTTTACATTGAGCTCTATGTTGTTCTGTGTCACAGTTTCTTTTAAAAATGCATCTTCCATATCTTAAAGCCAAATTACATGATGGTTGAAAATACAGGAACAGTACTACTACTACATAAAAATCGCTATATAGAAGACAAGTGATAAATGGTTAGTCTTTTTCATTATTACAACTTGGTATCCTCTGGGGTTTGGTTCCAGGACCCCCTGTAGAGATCAAAATCCATAGATGCTCAAGTCCCATTAAATACAATGGCATATTAAAGTGGTGTCCTTTAGAGAAAAATCAATGTTTGTTTCTTGGAATTTATATATTTTTGGAATATTTTCAAGCCATGGATAGTTAAATCAATGGATAAGGAGGGCTGACTGTTTAACTATAACTTCTTGTTGCCTTCTGGTCGTTTCCAACTTGTGGCAACCCTAAAGTGAACCTATCACAGGGTTTTCTTGGCAAGATTTGTTCAGAGGGGGGGTGCCACTGACTTTCTCTGAAGTACTGTTGGCATCAACTTTTGTAATCTCTTACCACTGGTTGAAGTTACAGTAGAGGGTCAGAGATTATTCATTTTTTCCTGAGGTTTCCTCATGTAAGCAAATTGACATCTGGAATGAGAACTCACAGAATATTTGACTGACAGCTCCCTATCTTCTTCTGAGGCTGGGAGAATGTGACTTGCCCAAGGTCACCCAGGAGGTTTCCATTGCCAAGTAGGGGTTTGAACCCTGATTCTGCAGAGTCCTAGTCCAACACTCTAACAGCTACACTATGCTGGCTCTCTATTATAACTATCAGTTGACGAAGGTCTAGAACATACTGCAGAAATAATCCAGTTATCACTCACTTTGATTTCATCATATTTCATAATCTGCTAGAAGATACAGTTTATAACTTTGGTCCAAAACACACTGCAGAAATAATCCAGTTTGAGACCACTTTAACTTCCCTGCCCTCGCATTAAAGTGTTTAAAGTAAAGGCATGCCAAGGGGAAATGGAGTGGACAGTGTTTTAAAAAAAAATTAAGTATTTCCTGTAACAATAAAACTAAGAGGATTTTCTAAATGAAAAAGCCTGCCTAATTTCCCAAACTAAATAGACTTGATACTTGAATTTGTGGAAGGGGAGCTAATTCCCATCCCTTGGTCACTTTAATTGCTGAAAACTTTCAAGATGCAATGGTTCAGCTATGCTAGGTAGGATGCAGTAGAAGTAACAGTTGTTTTAGAGGTATATTCACAAAGATATTAAATCACACTAAATAAAGCTCTGAAAAATCTTGTTTTCATCCCTCCCAATTTTTAAACAGAATTAAACCCATACAATTCCCATCCTTGAACATTTGTGCCACCTTCCATACTTTGTTAAAAACACAAACATCTTCTTCCCTTTCCATCCCAAATCTACATTCTATGGAATATGTCCAGACAAAAGGGGGGAAAGAACACACCTCGAAATCTACTATGTGAAGATTAAAAGAAAAAAACAGTATACAATAGAAATGTAATACTTTCTAGATGTATTTTCTTTTCTTTTTCTCTCCCCTCCCTTCTCCACCTCTTGCCCTCCTCACTAAATAGTATGGAAATATTTGAAGGCAATTTACTAGAAGCCTTGAGTGACAAAGCTCATTACTTAAAGTGCCTTTCCTTCGCCAGGCACTTTCTGCATTCTTTCATTGCTTTGCTCTCAGGAGACTTTTAAATCCATTGAACCAAAACAGTCCTCTGTTTGCTGGCCTACCAAGGGCATTGGCACAGATGGCAGACACTACACCTGTTCCAATAAAACAGGAGATTCAAAACCATTTGGTGTCATTAGCTGCATGAAACCTAAGCCAACGTGTACTTGAAATACCTTCCCGAGAGAAGTAGAAAGAAAATGGGGTGAGGAAACCTATTGTTTATGTCATGCTGTGTTCCAAGCCAAAAGAATAAAAATGATCAGAATGTTTCCTTCGAATTTCCAGAGTTTACCCAAAACTGAAACTGAGCATGAACCCATGAAGTGTTGCCACCTTACTTTTCCTAAAAGGTGTACTGGACAAGCAAATTTCTTTTTCAAGATCCTTTTTTCACATCATAGCTCATAATGGCAAAGCTTGGCAATTTTGTTGTTGTTGTGTGCCTTCAAATCATTTCCAACTTATTACAACTCTTAAGGCGAACTTCTCACATGATTTTCAGGGGTTCACAATGTATGACTTGCCCAAGATCACCTAATGGGTTTATCCGGCCAAGCAGGAAATTGAACCCTGATCTCTAGAGATATAGTCCAATGCTCAAACCACTACACCATACAGCAATATTCAAATGTCTCTCAGTTGTCATCTAAATCCCATTTACTAAGCAGTAAACCCCACTGGCCACCAATTTATATTGGATTTATAGAAGGGAAGTAGTTATATTCTTAGGGAACAAGGTTATCAATGTTTAAAGGTAAAGGTATTCCCCGTTCATAAGGTTGTCAAGTCATGTCCAACCATAGGAGGCAGTGTTCATCTCCATTTCTAAGCCAAAGAGCCAGCTTTGTCAGAGACTACTCTGTGATCATGTGGCCAGCATGACTGCACAGAACGCTGTTTACCTTCCCGCTGAGAAGTGGTACCTATTTATCTACTTGCATTTGCATGCTTTCAAACTGCTAGGTTGTCAGAAGCTGGGACTAGTGACGGGAGCTGACCCCATCATGCAGCACCCAGGGCCTTGAACTGCCAACCTGCCAATCTTGCAATCAACAGAGTCAGTGTCTTAACCACTTGAGCCACAATGTTTACTAGTAGTCTATAAGTCACCTCTATTATCAGAAGCATTGTGTCTGTGTGTATCATTTGCTGGAGTCCACGAGATGGAGGATGAGGTTGTATTCATGTTCTGCTGATGGATCTCCCATGGGTGATTAAATGGCCACTGTTTGAACAAATGTTGGAATAAACAGGCCTCTGGTCTGATCCAATATGGCATTAAAAACATGGTGTGTTTTTTAGGAGGGATATATGTTACCCTTAGGATTTTATTTTTATTTTTATTTATTTATTTTGTAAGCTGCCTTTCTCCCAGAGCAGGACCAAAGGTAGCTTCCAAAGAAAGTCAATTAAAAAACCTTAACAATAATTCTTTTTTAAAAAAACAAATAAAAATCCATACATCAAGCAGTAGAAAATAATTTAAAACATACAAAAGTATTTTAAAAAAACCCACATACCCATCAGACACTCCCCTGCCTACTCATTAAAAGCCTGCTGAAACAAAAAGGTCTTTGCCTGCCAGACAAAGGACAGCAGGGAGTGAGCAGTCCAGTCTCCCATAGAAGAGCATTCCAGAAGGTGGGAGCAACCACTGAGAAGGTGTCTCTCATGTCCACAGCAAGAGAACTTGTGATGGTGACAGGACTGAGAGATAGCCTTTCCATGTAGATCTTAGAATGCTGGCAGGTTCATATGGAGAGATACAATCTTTCAGATAGTCTGGACCTAAGTAGGATAGGGTTTTATAGGCCATAGCTAGCACTTTGAATTGTGCCCAGGAACAAACCAATAGCCAGTGAAGCTGTTTTAACAAGGGAATTATATGCTCCCTATAACTGGCAGCCCCATGTAAAGTATGTTACAGTAGTCCAAATAGGATGGCATCAAGGCATGTGTCACCATAGTAGGATCTGAAATGGGTGCAGCTAGCGCACTAGTTTTAACTGTGCAAATGCACTCCTGAAACCTGGCCATCCAGACTCAGAGCTGAGTCCAGGAGAACACCCAAGATGCAAGCCTGAGATTTCAGGGGAAGTGTAACCCCATTCAGCATAAGCAGAATACCTATTCACTGATCTGCCTTTCAACTGACCAGGAACACCTCCTTTTTCTAGATTAAGGGCCTCGGCAGACGGCTAATTGCGCTGTCTCCGAGGCCCGGAAG